TCCGGAGACACACTTAGGGGCTTGCAAGGCATCTGCCTTCTTGTTCTTAGAATCCTAGAGTTGCGAAAGACCCCCTTTGTTTGAAAACCTTCTCTAGAGGTTTTCAAACAAAGCCTGTATGGCCATCTGTCAGGAAGGCTTAAATTGTGTATCGTAGAATGGGGTTGGACTTGGATGGTCCTTGTGCTCTTTGTTATGAGTAGGTAAATAAGTTGAGAACAATTGCCCTGAGAGTTCCTGAGAGGCTTCATTGCAGTAGGCTTTAAAGATGATATGTAAACTACAGACACTCCATTCCCTAAAAAGTTCATATATACATATACCTCTTTGCAAGTTCAGACTAAAACCCAAAGCAGACTTGCATATACACACACTTAACCTACCTGCATCAATTGAGATTCTAAATGGGAAACAGATAGATATTCCTTGAAGAAGTACACCAGAAATGATTAAAATAATAACTCGGAGTCGTACCTTTCAGCTGAGCTGCCACCTCAACGTAGGTCTGCATTACAACCAGGGAAACAGCATCCCCTGCAGCGCAAATGAAGAAATACAGGGTTAGTCAAAATGAATAGGCCAATAAGAAAATTAATTTTAGACGAATGTATGTTTACTGTAACCAAACCACAGCTACGTAGCGACAGATAAACTATCAAAGTTTTTTTTGAGCAACACACATGTACGTTAATGCCGCTAGGCGTCGCTAGGGGTCGCTGTTTTCAAAATGGCGGAATCAAGCAAAGAGAAGGCGTTTTGTGTGATGACATTTGCTAAAACAATGTCAGTAATTACGGTCCAGCGAGAATTTCAAGGGTTAGGGTTAGGGTTAGGGTTAGGGTTAGGGTTAGGGATAGGGTTAGGGTTAGGGTTAGGGTTAGGGATAGGGTTAGGGTTAGGGTTAGGGATAGGGTTAGGGTTAGGGTTAGGGTTAGGGTTAGGGTTAGGGTTAGGGTTAGGGTTAGGGATAGGGTTAGGGTTAGGGTTAGGGATAGGGTTAGGGTTAGGGTTAGGGATAGGGTTAGGGTTAGGGTTAGGGTTAGGGTTAGGGTTAGGGTTAGGGTTAGGGTTAGGGATAGGTTAGGGATAGGGTTAGGGATAGGGTTAGGGTTAGGGATAGGGTTAGGGATAGGGTTAGGGTTAGGGTTAGGGATAGGGTTAGGGTTAGGGATAGGGTTAGGGTTAGGGTTAGGGATAGGGTTAGGGTTAGGGTTAGGGATAGGGTTAGGGTTAGGGTTAGGACCTCAACGAACACCTTCCCAGACGTTGCTGCATTCGATGCCATTACGTCGGATGTGCTGCAACGGATGTGGAATGAACTGGACTATCGCTTGGACATCTGCCGTGTCACACGGGGCGCCCATATCGAACATCTCTGAAGGTGAGACAAAACTTTGATAGTTTATCTGTCGCTACGTAGCTGTAGTTTGGTTACAATAAACATACATTTGTCTAAAATTAATTTTCTTATTGGCCTATTCATTTTGACTAACCCTGTATTTTATTTTAGGTGCTTTGAGGTTTCTTTGGCTATCAACCAAAATTCTGCATGAAGGCACACCAAACTCCTCACCAAACCCCCTCTCCACTGCATTTTGCCTGCAGTATAATATTTTGCAAATCAAGACTATGCAAAATTAAATCTACATAATAAATCTAGTGGAGTCTCTTTCTTTGAAGTTTTTGAAACAGAGGCTAGATGGACATCGGTCGAGAGGGCTTGGACTGTGCCTTTCTGCATAAGAGAATGGGATTGGTGTATCTTTCAATTCTAAGATCTGAATCACAATGACATCACGTGTTTAATTATCTTTCTGTCCTTCTCTCTCCTCTTTTGGAGGACTTTAAATAGAAGTTGGATGGTCATCTTTCAGGAGGGCTTGGATGGTGTCTTCCTCCATGACAGAATGGCCCTTGTGGGTCCCTTCTAGTTCACGGATTCTATTGCAACAAATGCCTGTCCTGCCTCCTCTTCCTCCCATCATCTGTCTAGCTCAGGTATGGGCAAACTTGGGCCCTGCAGGTGTTTTGGACTCCAACTCCCACCATTCCTAACAGCCTCAGGCACCTTCCTTTTCCCCCTCAGCCGCTTAAGCGGCTGAGGGGGAAAAGGAAGGGGCCTGAGGCTGTTAGGAATGATGGGAGTTGCAATCCAAAACACCTGGAGGGCCCAAGTTTGCCCATACCTGTCTTAGCCCATTATGGCCAAAGTGCGTACAGCTTTTGGGTCCCAAAGTATGCTCTTTGAAGCTTCCTAAAGTCCCCATTCCCAAATATATTTCAGGTAAGGGAACGAGCCAAACTGGCTAATGAAACTCGTTGGAAACTTGCTAGTTTATTTTTGGACTTACAGCTGGCATAAAAAAGCACTGCAATGGGTTTGGCCTTTGTGAGCATGGAGCCAAAGGATTCCTCCGTCAAAGTCTGGATGTTTTCGAAGGAGAGTTGGTTTTTCCGGTCTCTGATGATGGATTCCACCACTTGATCATCCTCGATCTCTGAGGGACACAAACACAAAGCCCACTGACACTCAAATATCCTCCTCAAATTAAGGAGGAAGTATTTATTTATTTATTTATTTATTTGCAGCTTTTATCTTCCACCTTCTTCTCAGGGCGGATTACAGTGTACACATATATGGCAAACATTCAATGCCAATTTTTGACATACAAACATATACAGACATACACAGAGGCTATTTAACTTTTTCTGGCTGCCAGGGGAGCTGTCGCTTTCATCGTCCATCTGTGACGCTGATGAAGCACTTCCGCATTCCCCGCATGCTTCCCCGCTGGAATGCTTTGCTGGAGTCTCCTTAATGGCCTCAATCTAACCCAGAGCTGGGGAGGCTGTGTTGAACAAGGATTTAAAGGACTACGGCTGAACTAAGATGGCTCACTTACCTTGTTCCGCATACTCTTCATCTTCGTACTCCTCTTCGTACTCCTCCTCTTCCTCCAACGGTTTCGTATCCCCTTCCACCAAGGCGACAATCTCGTCTATGTCTTTCAAAACCAGGTACTGAATAGGGATGCCCTACAGAGAGGCCAAAGAGGGAAATCAGAGCATCATAACAACCTTCTTAAAGATACTTAAAAATAAATAAAAGGAGAAAAGCTTTAGTAAAAAGCACAGCCACAAATTACTGTGGAATCTGACCGCTTTTCTAAAGTTACAACATTGAAAGATTGTGCATTTGAACATTTTGCATTCATTATTCCCATTTGTTCCAAGACACTCTTCGCCGTGCCTTTCATCAATGGTCAAACTATTAAAACACTGTCTCATTCTCACATTTATTTATTTACTTACTTACTTACTTACTTTATTTATATACCGCTTTTCTCAGCCCTCAGGGGACTCAAAGTGGTTAACAACAGCAAAATTCAATGCAAAAACATCACAAAACGAATATGGGACAGTTAATAACAGTAGCATCATCAACGATTAAACATCAATATAACAATCATTAGCGTCTCATCAGTAAAATCAGAATCCA